TCTTATAACATGCCATATTTCACTCGTATCAAGCATATTTGTACCTATATTCAATGAGATTTTCAAGTCTCCTTGCTTGCTTCAAGTAAGTATTATGAGCCAGGAACAGCACTGTATGCATGATCAAGGTAAGCCAACACACCCCTGCCCTGTGAAGGCTTACAAACAACCTAGTTTACAAGCCAGTAAGTAAATTGATTGAGGAAATGCACTTAAAAATTGATATCAATTTGCTATCATGACTATAAAGGATACAGGGTACTTTGATGGAGAATAATAAAGTAGGCCCATCATAAATCAGGTAGATGGAGAAGGGATGCCTGCGGAGGTGGTATTGAGTTCAGACGTAAAGGACAAGGAGCCAGACATACACAAATAGTGAGAATTTGGGTGTACATCCAGAGTTCACGGTTGGGAAGGGGTGGGTTATAGTGACAGAGGAGAGGCCCATGGAAAGACACCGGGGGAGTGAGGGAGACCTGAGTAGGCTTCAAAACTAGCACAAGGTCTCTGTGATCTGAGAATGTAACAGGGAGCACCAAATACTATCACACAAGGTTTCATACACAATAAGAATCTGGATTTTGTTACATGCAATGAAGGAGCCTTGGTGATGTAGTAGGTTACAAGTTGGGCTGTTAACCAAAGGGTCAGCAGTTTGAAACCACTGGTTGCTCTGTGGTACAAAGATGAGGCTATCTGCTCCCATAAAGATTTATAGCCACCAAAGCCAGTTTTACTATTCTCTGTTAGGTTGTTGGGAGGATGAATTAAATCTAGGGCTGTGGGTGGTGTGGCAGTTACATAATCTCCTGTTACCTTGAGCGGTGGTGGAGTCTAGCCTGTTAATCCGGTCATAGCCAATGAGGCCTCTGGGTGGGCATAGCCTTCTCCTGAGGATTCTGGGAACTCCTGTCTTACTCGCTCTGTTACACATTTGGTTGACAAGCTACATGGAGTTATGCTGTTGGCAGCAAGAGCCCTGGAGCTGGAGGAGCCATATGGAGACGCATGCCAGTGCTGAGATGCTTCCACCGCCACTGGAGGCACAAGACTTTCTATCCACTGGCCTGTGATCATCCTGAATTCTACATCATGGTATGTGTTGCATGAGTCTGAAGAGGACTTTATAGGTTGTTATGGGCTAATGGGCTAACATTGTATGGACTTGATCTGGACTGGCTGGGATGTTTTCCTAATATACAATTACTCTTTGATATAAAGCTCTCTCTTATCTACATATGAGTGTCTCTGGATTTGTTTCTCTAGTCTACCCGGACTAACACAGGTGGGTACAATGGAAGGATGGGAGGGTGTTCAGTAGGCGAGTGACAATCACAGTGATATGTAGAAGATTCATTTTAGTTGGACAGGAGCTGAGTGAGATGAGTTAGAACAAGCGCTCTTGGTGACTCCAAATGGGATGATGTTCAGAGAGAGCAATGAGTGCAAGTAACTCTCACTATGCATATGGAGGTGGGAACCACAGGCTTGTTGCCGGAAAGGTAATGAGGAAGCTCACTGAATACTACCTATCACACAGGGCCTCGTGAGCGGTGAGAATCTGGATTATACGTCACATACAGTGCAAGGAAAAGCGACTCCCGAGTTTCTGAATTGCCTCGTTGGGTGGATGACAGAATGATGAACTGTGACAGGGAAGACAGGGACTTTCTTCACTTGCTGAACATCCCACCCAAACCAAACCAGTGGCCATCGAGTAGATTTTGACTCATGGTGATTTCATGTATGTCGGAAAAGACCTGTATTCCTTCCAGGTCACCAGGCCTTACTTCTGAGGTACCTCTGGCTGGGTTTGAACCACTTACCTTTTGGTTTAGAGTCAGACACTTAACTATTTGTGTTACTCAGGGAGTTCACATGGAACACTAGTGGGGGATACTCTAGAATTCAACTTAGATCATAACAGAATTTCAAATGTCTGTAAGTTGTTAAGTGGGTTACTGGAAATTCAAGTCCAAAGGGAGGAGAGCCAAGTGGAGGAGGTGAATTTGGGGGTCACAGTGAGCAATGTTGCCATGAAGATGAATAAGATCATCTAGAGCAGCAGTTCTCAACCTGTGGGTCGCGACCCCTTTGGGGGTCAAACGACCCTTTCACAAGGGTTGCCCGATTCATAACAGTAGCAAACTTACAGTTATGAAGTAGCAACAAAATTAATGTTATGGTTGGGGGGTCACCACCACACGAGGAACTGTATGGAAGGGTCCCGGCATTAGGAAGGTTGAGAACCACTGATCTAGAGAGAGAACAATCAGGAGTGGTGCTGAGGAGCTCCGGTATTAGAGAGGAGGAGAAGAAGTGAATCTTCTGATGTTTGATTAAGACAAAAAGCACCAGCTGTAGGCTCTGGCTCAAAGAAAGAAAAGAGATATATAACAAACGGTGTCAAAAGCTTTATTGGAAAGAAAAACGAGCTTAACAACAATATAGATTAACTCGGAAGGAAAAAAGACACCTTATCTTTATATTTCTCGTTTGGACACGGCAGATATCAAAGATCGTTAGCTTTCCGCCAGGATCCTCTTGGTTGAAATCTCTTCTCAGAACAATGGATTTGGGAATATGACAAAAAAGAAACTAGGGTCAGTCATAAGATCAATCACGACCCTTTCCCCTAGTCAAATCAGAGCCCATTTCACAGGCCAGGTCAAAAGAGAAATCTTTTGAGGTCAGCCAAAACTAGATTTTGAGTCCTTCTCAGTCCCTTAGGATTGAAGTAACTTTGGACAAGTTCACATAACTTTCCTGAAGTTCAATTTCACTCAGGTACAGAACGGGATACTTAGCCCATAGGCTTGCTCTGAGGATTGAAAAGGCCTGCTATTCTGTTAATTGAACATACTCATAATTAGTGATAAGACTATTACAGATAGCATCATCAACATTACCAGAGTAGTTAATACTATAATTATTAAGCCTCGGAAGGAACCTTGGTGGCTCAGCTTCAAACTGAAAGGTCTGTGGTTTGAACCCACCAGAAGTTGGGGAGAAAGATGCAAAATTATTCTAGTTTTTAATGTTTTCTGCTTGATTGAGGTTTTTATCTGTTTTACTTTGTTATTGTGTTCATCTTTTTTAATGTTTTTCTCTATATGAAATCCAGGATAGGTAGATCTATAGAGACAAACTAGATTAATGGTTCCTTGGGGGGCCTGATATGCAAGGGAGGTTGGGGAGAAATGGGGAGCCAATAACAATGAATACAAGCATAAAGAAAATGTTCTAAAACTGATTGTGTTGATGATCGTACAACTCTTCTTGATGCGATTGAACGATTGAGTTGTATGATATGTGAATTATATGCAATAAAACTGCTGGAGGGAAAAAAAGTTGACAGCCTGGCAAGCCCTACGGGGCAATTCTACTGTGTCCTAAATGGTTGCTCTGAGGTGGAATCAGCTCAGCATCTTTCAACAGCAACAATATTAAGCACTAAAGATGGTGCCAAGTGCTTTAGGGCTGTTATCCCATTTACTCTGCCAACAGCCTTGTAAATTCACCACCCCTGGTGCCACTGCGAAGATGAGTAAGGACCCAGAGAGGGTTGGTGGCTGTTTTGAGATCCCAGAGCTTATAAATGATGATGGAAGGCTGTGCACGCAGGTCAGTCTATCTCCACAGCACTCTGATGCCCGCCCATACCCAACATGCATGGGCATTTTATGTAGACTCTTCCTCTTAGATTTCACACTTCCATTGCCAAGTCCAACCAGGTGCTTTTACATCACAGCTGTTCCTTTAGTGGCTGGACCTTAATCGTGGAAGGCTGTGAATGGCTTTGGCTGGGAGGAGGTGACCATGGGTTAGACTGGTTTCCCACATTAAACTGGAAAAGGAAGCAAATGCCACTTGATTCTAACCATGTTGTTTAAAAGAATAGCAACACCATCAAAACAGCCAACATAAGATGGACCCTTCAGACCGTCCAAAATCTGCAGCTCTTGTCCCCTGTCTTGGCCCTGGTGCCTAGTCTTCCTGATAAGGCTGTAGAGTGGGCAGAGGCCTTGCCCCTGGGCCCAGCTCATTCTGACTTGGTTACAGCTATATCAAAGTCCACTGCTTCAAGTCCATTTTAAAGGTAAGAACAATCATAGGACGCCTCTCATTTTTTTAGTGTTTTTATATAATTCATCTGAGCGTGTTATGTAATGTGTTTGGGGTGGTTTCACAGGAACAGCTGGGTGATAGAGGGTCTGAAAGATAACTAGAGTTGACATTTCACAGTAATTTTAGGGAAATAGCCATGGACAGGAAGGGAAAGCAAAAGCAAAAAAAAATTATGGAAATAATTCATCTTATATATTTTTCTTTCTCCTGAGCTATGTCTGCTCAAGAATACAATTCTTAATGACTCTGCAATAGAGTGAGGGGGCTTAGATTTTATCACAGAATCCAAGTCAGCTGCCACCAGTAAGACCCTTGGAGCACATCATCGCCATCTCCACATGCTCTTTCTGTGGAGACAACAGGCCACCTGAGCATGTGCAGCGGCACTGCTTAAGCTGCGGTGCCCTTGTGGCATCACACACACAAGCAGTAACTCTTCTGTTCTGTTATTGTTACTTGTTGGCCCTGCAAACAGAACCAAGCCCATCCCCGGGAACATTAAGGGAACGTCAGAACTCTAAAACCAAGCCGCAAGGACTGGGACCTCCCATTTCCTGGACTCTTAACTTCAAAAGGAAAGAAAAAAGGGAAGAAATCAGGCAAAATCCAGATGCACTCTGGAAAAGACACAACTAGGAAACACAGGAGAAAAAAAAAGGGTCTAACACGAGGCCTGAGAACAAGGGGCCACCTTATGCTGCGGCCAGCAGAGGCGGCAAACCCATCGTCACAGGGCTTGCAGCCAACCGTCGCTACTCACGCTTATAAAGCTCGTCACAGGCTTTCCCAGGCAAGATGCAGCTGGGCCACCAACTTGCTTCATCCACAGCTGCTCAGAGCGGCCTGCCCTGCCTGCCCGGGAGAGAGTCATGGCCAAGTGGGGACTTGTCATCTGCATCCTGGTTATCACCTTGTTCCTGGACCAGACGACCAGCCACCCTTCCAAGTTAAAAGGCAGGAAGCACAGCAAACGCCGAGTGAAAGGTAACCAGCCCCTCTCCCAGCAGAGCTGCTTGGCGAGGGAAGGGTCAAACCAGTGCCCATCTCACCTTCCTCAGGAGCCAGCCTCTGGGGACAGCTCCAGGCCATCGGGTAAATGTGAAGTTTTAGGGGTTTGAGGGAACTTGTCATTTGCCGGGACAATTTGCTACATCAAGATATCATGTGGCCAAAAAAAAAAAAGAGAGAGAGAGAGAGAAAGAAATCATATGGCAGGGCTTTTTAAATTTTGTTGGTTGTTTTTTTTTAAACTGGTAGGGTGGCAGCAAGCAACATATACACACACACAACTTTTTTCAGGTTAAAATCTTCCCTATTGCATAGCCTTTGCCAAGTGGACTTAAAATGATCTTCAGAGGGAGGTCCCTGGAGTATGTGGACATCTGGTGTTTTGAACGGTGTGGCAGGCTGAATAGATTATTAGTAGGGTACACTGCTTTTCATCTACATATAAGGTATTTGTACACTATAATCTTATTGAATATAAATATACATATAATCGTGTTAAATAAGTTGCAGAACATAAGCTACTCTCTGTGGTTGGCATAGCTCCCTATGCCACCGGGCTGCTAACCTAACAAAGCAGCTATAACTCCACGGCCCTGGCAGCACCCAAGTAGTCTGTACTACATATTGAAATGCCTTCATGTCACAGAGAAATCGAACCACTCTCTAACGTAAAAGACTTCGATGACCGAAGTCATACATTAGTGTTTGAGAGATACGTTATTGCAAAATGAAGTCTCCATGCCATCCCACATTTGGGATGGCTCGAACTGGGCAAAATTGGTTTGCTTGTTCAACAAACAAACAAAAGCTTTCAAAGGACCAGGAGGACGGCACTTTGTAATACGCTGAAACCAAAGCAAAAGAAGAGCATCAAGGCCTGGGGTGATGTTCGGTCCAAATTTTACTCAGTCGAAGTTATTTACATATTTTCAAGATGTTTCTAGCTAAATACCAGGGCACTGCTATTGCCTTCTTAATTTATTTTCACTGATAACACAGCACACCAAAAAAAAAAGCCTAAAATCTTGATTTGAGCCCAAACGTGAGCAGCCCATCAGTACAGCAGGGTGTTTGCTGTGTTGTGTCTGATTTGATGACAAGAGAAGTGACCTTTTCCGGAGACTTTCACTAAAATCTAGTCTGATGTCAAGTTCTTCACGTGGAATTTTATTTTCTTATGAAATGTTATACTTCCCTGAGACCTCTTTCAATGAGAAATGGAGGGTTTTATGTAGTCGAGGATGTCTCTTGTTGAAGATGAGGGAGGGGCGGAGGAGGAAGAAGCAAGACAAGTGGGTGGTGTGGCTGATGACTGTGGTCAGCCCGTTTTCACCACTAAGCGGGTGACCTTGGGCAGGGAAGGTGTGTGTGTGTGTGTGTGTGTGTGTGTGTGAACTGTGGGGCTTTTTGAAGAGATGACAGTTTGGGTCACATCCATGGTTTTCTGTCTCATTTTCTCTCGATAGACACATGCACAAAGCACATACTGTCATTTATTTAATTCATTGGATAATATCCAATTGATATCTATCTTAAAAGGAGCTCTGGTGGCATAGTGGTTATGAGTTGGTCTACGATCCACATGGTCGGTAGTTCGAAACCGCCAGCAGCTCCTCCTCGGAGAAAGATTAGGATTTCTACTCCCATGCACAGTTACAATCTCGGAAACCCACAGGGGGTTACTATGAGTCAGCAATGACTCGGTGACAGTATCATCCTCTCCCTGCAAAGCAGGTTTTACTAATTTTTGCCATTAAACATAGAAGATCAATTCTGCAGTAAATGAAGCAATGAGCTATTAGACTTATCAAACAACTCTCCTCCCCCCAGTCTCCACTTGCCATATGCACACATGTATACATACACACACAGAGGGCTATACACTTCTAAAATATCTTAAAAACCTGAACATAGCACCAAAGTATGTCAACTAAGAAGTAAAAGCCTCCAGCTCATCTCCCGATCCTCTCTGAAGAACTGTCCACTGTTAACTATCAGGTAGTAATATTCCTGGGCCTCTTTTCCCCCCTTCCAAATGCACAGTTTTAAAATGGATATTTTTACAATTGAGCAGTTGGCAGACAATGAGTTTCTGTTGAAACTGTACGCCATGGATGACAGTGAAGCATGAGGCAGGGGGCATGACCTCATTCCCTTAACAGCAGTGTGATATTCCACTGTGCGTCCAGGCCATGATTTATAGAGTCCATCCTCCCTTGGCTAGCTTGTATTCATTCATCCATCTCTCTTAGAAACAATGTCCCGAAGAACTGCTTTGTGCACCTAGATTGATTCCCATGCTAGCATGTATGATATATCTACAGAAGTAAGATGATAAGTTTGTCACACCTATCGTCTCCTGAAATGACAGCCCCAGCCCTCGCTCCTGTCTACAGTGTGTGCATGTGCATTCCCCACCTGCTGCCAACAACAACATCCTCTCGTCACGTTGAGCCTTGTCAACCTGAGAAACAAAACCCAAGCCACTTTCTACTGGCATTTCTTTTATTGTTACTGAAGCTGAGCATTTTTTTTTTCATATGTGTACTGGTCATTTCTTCTAAGAATTGTTTCTGCATTTCTAAACTGGACCTGCTTTTGGAGAACAGTAATAAAATGGAAGACTGTTTTAACTAAATTGGTGATTGAGAGGTTTAACTGCAAACTCGAGATTCGCCTGGTAATTCATAGCAAAGTATGTGTTGCTTTCATGAGTCAACTATCATTTCTCATGGTGGAGTAGTTGCTGGATGGGTTCCCTTTGTTGCGTATACACAATACTTCACACCTGCCAACAAGGACAGCAGCCACCTGGAGAATGCGGTGGGACAGGAAGCTAAGAGGGCTGGAAGGTGACATGTGTAGAGGTGATAATTTGTGACTTGGAAGCAAATCTCATCCCCAGCAGCTGCAGTTTTGCATTTTGGGTGCTTTCTGATATTTATTCTGGAATGAATGGTCCCTTCCAGGAAATTTTTGGGCTACTAATATTTCAGAGCTGAGCTGTGGGAGGCTTTAGGAATTAATGTGCAGCATTAAGTGAAACTGAGGTGGGAGACCCAAGGTGACATTTTCCTGACTCGGAAATTGGAAGACCTGGCTTGAGAAACATACATTTAAGGGGACCATGAATTTGACAAGTTTAGAATAGGGAGTGTCATGGAAAAATCCAGGAGAGCAATAGTCTGTAGATGGCACCCCACAGAGCAGCAGCTGTGGCCAGTTCTCACCACACTTTAAGCATCTCCTCTAAGTCACTTAGGGACCAAGGAGGTGAAGGCAATCACTCTGCAGAAGCAACTCAGAGGGATGGGATGAGAACAGGTGTGGAGTCCATGAGGTTCAAATTGTCAATCTGCACCTTACTAGCTAGCTGGGTGATCTTTGGTCAATCTATGAATTTCATTGGTCATTCTAAGAAATTCACCTTTCTCTCTCTCTTTTTTTCCTTTATGTGAAATAGAGCTAATGATAGCGTTTACCTTATGAGATTATGGAGAGGATTGAGTTCCTGAGCGACGGGGGGTGGGGGTGAGGGGGATGAGGCAGAGGGGATTTTAATATATAGTTTTAGTGATTTATTATGATGAGTCCTGTATAAACTGTTAACTTCTAAGATCCCATAGGTCTGGCATTTTCAACTTTTCAACTTTCCATTAGGTTCCCTCTCGTGGGCTAGTCAAGAACAGCTGGGAAGGCTCATTAGGATAGCGGTTCTCAACCTGTGGGTCGAGATCCCTTTGAGGGTCGAATGACCCTTTCACAGGGGTTGCCTAGGACCATCCGAAAACATATTTCTGATGGTCTTAGGAACGTAGACACCACTCCTCTGTCTGTCACCAGGTGGGTCTGCCCACGTGCAGAGATGCTGATGTGGTGAGAAAGAAGCTATCTCAACCTTCACGCTGACTTTGGCTTTTTACGCATACTGTAGCAAAATGTAGCAGTGGAGTTTACTGTTGTTACATTAAGACTGTTACCCATGCTACACCAAGCTTCAAGACAACATTTCATGGATTTGTCATTAGAAAGAAATATTTCAGAGTATATAATTACCTATTGTTTTTGTGATTCATCACTATGCTTTCATGATGTTCAATTTGACACAACATGAGGAACTGCATTAAAGGATCATGATGTTCAATTTGACACAACATGAGGAACTGCATTAAAGGATCGGGGCAGGAGGAAGGTTGAGAACCAACTGCTTTCGGCTCATTCCTGACATTCCACTCTAATCAGGTTGCTGATTGCTAATAGACAGGAATTTGTCCTTGACCCTTCGGAGCCACATCCTTTCACTTAGTGGTGCCATACTTCTCCATGGAGAGGGTTTAACCCTCCTTCGAGGTCCCATATGTGATCATCACCTGGGAACAGAGCTTAAATTAAGGACGGGAGAAATTAGAGCCCCACATAAGATTGAACCTGAAATCTGCCGCTTATCTGCCCACCCCCGTCATTCACTTGACTCATCATCAATGGGAGTCTCATTTTCCTTCCTTCAGGACCACGTGAAGACCGCCGAAATATTTTGCAGATCAAAAAGTGTTTATTCACTCGACAAATGCTAGCAGTCCCCATTAGGAGCCCTGGTGGTGCAGTGGTTACCTGTTGGGCTGTGATTAGCCTGGTCAGTGGTTTGAAATCACCTGTAGCTCCACTGGAGAAAGACGGGGTTTTGGACTCCTGTAAACAGTTTGTAGTCTTAGAAGCCCACAGGAGGTCACTAGGTGTCAGCATGGACTCGATGGCAGTGAATTTGGTTTGGCTTGGAGCTGTCCCTATTAT